GGAGGTCTCAGCAGGAGACTTCCAGGGCAGGAAGGTGTCCCTGTGGGAGCTCCTCTTCTCCAGGTACGTGGCCGAGGCCAAGCGGCAGGAGCTGCTGGGGCAGGTGCGGGCCGGGAGTCTGGCGCTGGCCAAGCTGGCCACGCTCCTCAGCCGGCTGGTGGAGGAGGCGGCGCAGCGCAGCAGCAGCGTGAAATTCACGGGCCTGCGGAGGCAGGTGACGGCATCAGACCTGCTGGACTCGGGCATCATCGACAGGGACACGCTGGATGAGCTGGTGCAGGGCTCAAAGACGGTGCAGGAGGTGACGGAAATGGCCTCCGTCAAGCGCTACCTGGACGGCACGGGCGTCATCGCCGGCGTGCTGGTGCCCTCCAAGGCCGACCCCACCAAGGTGGAGAAGATGAGCATCTACCAGGCCATGTGGAAGGGCATCCTGAGGCAGGGCACGGCCCTGGTGCTGCTGGAAGCGCAGGCCGCCACAGGATTCATGGTCGACCCCGTCACGAACCAGAAGCTGTCGGTGGATGAGGCCGTGGCGTCCGGGCTGGTGGGTGTTGAACTGCAGGAGAAGCTGCTGTCGGCCGAGAGGGCCGTGACAGGCTACTCTGACCCCTACACAGGCGACAAGATCTCCCTCTTCCAGGCCATGCAGAAGGATCTGATTGTGAGGGACCATGGCATCCGCCTGCTGGAGGCCCAGATCGCCACCGGCGGCATCATCGACCCCGTGCACAGCCACCGCCTGCCCGTGGAGGTGGCCTACAAACGCGGCTACTTCGACCAGGAGATGAGCCAGATCCTGTCTGACCCCAGCGACGACACCAAGGGCTTCTTCGACCCCAACACCCACGAGAACCTGACCTACGTGCAGCTGCTGCGCCGCTGCGTCCCCGACCCCGACACGGGGCTGCTCATGCTGCAGCTGATGGACAAGGGCTCCGTGCTCTACCAGCTGACCGAGGATGCCCGCAAAGCCCTGCAGGCCGCCCACACCACCCTCAGCGTGGGGCTCTTCCAGGGCCAGAGCGTCACCGTCTGGGAGCTCCTCTTCTCCCGCTACGTCCCCGACCACCGGCGCCAGGAGCTGCTGCGCAGGTACAAGTCGGGCACGGTCACCCTGGCCGAGATGATCGACATCCTCACCTCCATCGTCACCAGGGCCGAGGCCCAGGGCCTTGGTGATGACCTGGCCCCTAAGACCACACAGCAGGATGCCCCACCAAAGCCAGGCCAGAATGGTGAGGTCACAGGATCCCAACGGGACCAGGACCAAAAGCAGAAGCAGGAGAAGGAGCTGGAGAAGGAGCTGGAGCTGGAGCGCTCCCTCAAGGCCCACACTGTAGAGGTCTCAGCAGGAGACTTGCAGGGCAGGAAGGTGTCCCTGTGGGAGCTCCTCTTCTCCAGGTACGTGGCCGAGGCCAAGCGGCAGGAGCTGCTGGGGCAGGTGCGGGCCGGGAGTCTGGCGCTGGCCAAGCTGGCCACGCTCCTCAGCCGGCTGGTGGAGGAGGCGGCGCAGCGCAGCAGCAGCGTGAAATTCACGGGCCTGCGGAGGCAGGTGACCGCATCAGACCTGCTGGACTCGGGCATCATCGACAGGGACACGCTGGACGAGCTGGTGCAGGGCTCAAAGACGGTGCAGGAGGTGACGGAAATGGCCTCCGTCAAGCGCTACCTGGACGGCACGGGCGTCATCGCCGGCGTGCTGGTGCCCTCCAAGGCCGACCCCACCAAGATGGAGAAGATGAGCATC